GAATTTTGGACCTTACGAAATTCTAACGGCATTCTACGGCCTTCTGCAAATATGCAAAGAGAAAATAACAACAATGAGCTGGCCGAAAAGAAAGCGACAAATTACGTAGCCAGCATGCTAATGCTAATGCTAATGCTCTTTTTCCCTAACGGCATTTCGCACAGCCGGCTAAAAGCCCCCTTTAACCCCATCCTCCCCCCCTTTTTTTTGTATATTTTGTATTTTTTCTTTTTGTGAAAGCTGGAAACCAGTTTTCTATTAGCATTTGCTTGGCGGCAAAAGAATGAAACACGACAGCGCGGAGAAAAATAAAACAGAGAAAAGAGCGCGGCTGGCTCTCTCGGCTCTCAGCGCTCTTTGGCTCTCTTTTGGCCACAAGGCAGTCGACTGGTGCATTGACCCCACAGCTCGCTGACCCACTTACGAAGCTGCTTTTTGCCACTGCGAATGCGAGTTGCGAATTGCGAATTGCCGACGCTGCGAGCTCGTGCCTCAGTCGACGTAGAAGTCGCCGTTGCCGTCGTTGTTTCGACGAACGAGCAACTTGTGCAATAGTCGCAGCAGCAGCAGCAACAATAACAACAGCAGCAACTGCAGCAACACCGATAGCAACCGCAGCAACGTCGACTGCGCTGCCACATGGGCAACTCAAAACTGACTGTGCTTTACTCTCTGCCTCAGCACAGTGGTTAGCAGAATGCAAAAAATGCAGCATATGCATGCACTATATGCACACTTTTAAAATTCCATATGCCACAACTTTAGTGAGTCGAAAACATTTGTTTATAAAAAAAGAGCAATATATACAAAAAAGAAAATACTATGGCAAAGGCAATTTGTTTCTACACTCAACCAATTCAAAAATATTTATATTACTAAATTTTGATGGTTTTCAGTCCTTTTCAAAAAGCATTGCGCCTGGCATTGAACAATATTCTCTAGACTCAGACCAAATCTCTATCGCCTTTCTTAAGAAACCAAATGAACAAAAATGTTTATTTCTAAAGCTAAAAATCAGAATAAGTTTAAGTTAACAAGATTAAATAGTAGGAATGCTTTTATAAAAAAAAACCGTTTGAAGGGGTAACCTATTTCAATTTTCATTTGCTTACGAAATATCATTATGGAAACATTAAAGTTTTTGTTAAATGCAAATCAATCTCTCCTTATTAGCTTAACAAAGTTTTTGCTGAACTCGGTCAGACTGTTCGTAAGGTATTATGTGTGTTTTTTATATCATTTCTATAGTTTCTGGCGTTGTTATTGTTATTTTATTTGACTTTGCCGTTCGCCGCAGTGCCAAAAACTGCAATTCATATGCAGCAGCCCCCCCTGCGGCCGGCGCCCCCCGCCCATTACAGCCTTACGTCCCGCCCGATCTCCCGGGTTTTTATGTTTTTTTCGTTAGCACATGTCGTTGCATATTAATTTTCATATGCAAGTGTGCACACATGCATGTGCGAGTGCTTTTCACACTTTTTACTCGCTTTGTGCTGCTTCTTGGCGAACTGCATTTTTTGTGGGCATGCATTCGCAATAAAGAAGAACATATTAATTTTGACTTCTGGTTATTGCTGCACCCAGCAGAAGCAGTGCGAAAAAGAAAGCCCGCGGGGCAGAGCAAATAAATTGCATATGCAAAATATTTGGGCGGCTTTCCGCTTGGCTCTCTTCCATGTTTGCCGGCGTTGGCCATTCAGAATTTATTTTATTCAGCCGCTTTTGAACAGCAATTAATTTTCTTTTAGGTTGAATAGGCGTAGCAAACTTGTTGGTTGATCAACCACAAAATGCAGTTTTCTTTACTTGATTAAGTATAACTAGTTTTTAGCCGACAACGGTGCGTGTACGTGATGATGAGGAATTACCTAATAATTGAATGGATGCGTTTTCATTGAGCAAAGGCGTTCGTGCCACTCGAAAGCAATTAAAAAACAGTCGCAGTTAATTAAAAAGTTATTAAAATTCGTATGCATTTATTTATTGTACGTATACTCCACCGTTTTATCCACCCTGCCTTTTACCTCTGATAAACAAACAATTTCACCCAATATTTGCCTTCATTTCAAGAAAAAGTATGTCATAAATTGTATTTTTTCGCCGTCAAAGTACACAACGCAAAAAATGCCAAATAAGACAATAAAATGTATTTCATGACACACTTTTCCGCACCACGTATTAAGTAAATATTTGCGCCTGCTATTTGTTAACCCAAATGGGGTCGAAAATATGCGTAGGTTAATATTTAATTACTTTAGAGATACTTGTTACCATGTAAGTGTCTGCAAGAAATGTTGGGTTCTAATAATAGAAGAGAGGTGCGGTGGCTTAAAAAATGTTAAGGAAAAGCTTAAGGGTCCACAAAACCACTTGTACTAATTAAAACAGAATTTTTCCGAATTGTTTAAAAAAATATATGGTACAGATATTAAGAAATTTAAAATTATTTAGAATAAATAAAAATAGTTTCGGTTATTACAATTTTATTGTTAAAATATTTTGATGTCGTGAATGGCCAATTGGCTTTATGTACCAGTGTTAAACTAAAACTACAAATTTCATGATAACTTTTATTTTTAAAATACCTTAAGCAAAAACCAAATGGTTTTATTCGGTCAACAAAATTATATTTCCACCTTTAAAAGTACATGTGATTATCGATTTCCTGAACTGCATACAAATGAGTGGGAATGGCCTGTAAAGTTGGAAGCTTTTACTTGTCATAACGGTAAATGTGCCCCTCTCTTTGCTTTTCGCTCTTTAGTGCAGTTACCCCCGACTTATCTGTCTGAAGACCCATAAACACGCACATTCCGGTACTTCAGATAAAGATTTATATGTTTTCGGGAGAAAGGCCTTACAAATACTGCATTTTCCGTGCAAGTATTTCGAGTATTTCGTAATGCCCAAGAACGATAAAAAGTTTAAGGCGGTTTAAGTGAGCCCCACGCCCCTTTAAACCCCCTCTAAAACCCCTACTTTTCCACTGATGACGACAACCATTCTAGCATAATTAAATATCTGTCTGTCCGCTCAGTTGCAACGAAAGAGTGTGGCTCTCTTAAGAGAAGCCCCCTAAGAGAGGGGCGAACTAAGAGAGCCGTGAGCAGAGAACTTTCTTTTCGATTTTGTTTTTGCTTTTATTTTTCTTCGCTTGCCGAGAATGTTGTGTGTGTGTGAGATACTGCCGTGTGGGAAAAGTTCATTGACTCTTGAAAAACATTCAGTCACTCACTCACACAAAGACAGTCGGGTTACTCACTCACTCACTCATCATCTGTCACACATTTCTCCGATCCGAAAAAAAGCGGCAGCGCTTGGCACATTTTTCAAGCTGCGCTTGTGTTGGTGTTGCTTTCTGTTGTGTTTTGATTGTGCTCCCCCTCAGTCGACATCAACGTCGCTGCCGACGACGCTGCCGACGTCGATGCCGGCGTCTCTGCCGCCGCGGATGCTGCTGCGTCTGTATTTGTGTGCGTTCGGTTCAGCGCGCATCTTTCATCCTCTTGGGTAAATACAAATACAAATACGCAAGGCAAAGCGCCTAGATTACACAATACAATACCGCCGCCAGACGAGACCAATCTGCCGCTCGCGCTCTCTCCCTTGCTCCTCCTCCTTCTCTCTTGCACCAGCTTTAAGTCATACACTAGGCCACAAAAGTTTGGGTGCTTCAAGTAAGACATCATAGTTTTTATAGATTCTACATGGTATTATTATTATTATTCGAATTTATACTAAATTATTTAAAGAACATACATTAATATTTGAATTCATAGATAATTTTAGATAAAAACTGAAATTTGTATATGCATAAAAACACACATAAGTTAAGTTGATTGACCAAACTATAAATTATTCAGCCAATTTACTTTTCGAAATCCTATAAGTCATAAAATTACTATTAATCTTCTAAGCATTACAACTTAAAATCGTAGTAGGATAAAAGTATAAAATCTAAGCATCTACAAAAAGGTGTCACAAGAAAAATCGAAAACAATTTTTAATTTTTACATTTTATATAGTTTGACTTTTTTTTAAAGCGTTTCCATTGTCAGATTAAACTTCCCATTTCTGCAGTTCAGTGTAAATTGCCGCAAATTTTAATTCTCTGTGTGAACCAGTTCTCAGCGATGCGATGGTGCACTGCTGTTGATCAGGAAATTGCATCACCGCTGAAAGGATTGCGGCAAGGGAAACCCGAACAGCTGTCGCACTATCCCCTCCCCTCTGCGAATCCCCCTCTTCCTTCCACAGTCGGGGCATGGTATTCTTTATTGTCTGGGCAGACAAGTGGCTTAAGGTACCGCGCGCATTGTGCTGCATGGATAATACATTACAATATTGCGCAATAGTTCTCTGGGGTCGAAGTGGCTTTGTCTGAACTCCGACAATGGAGAGGCTGGCATCGGGAAATCCATTGATTGTAATTGCGGGGCGTTCTCTATCGGAAATTACTTGAGGCCTGCAACTGCAAGATTTTAGTGGGTGAACAGTCTGTCTATACTTCTTTAATGTGTTTGCAACCTTACTTCAAGGGAAATACTCTTAGAAAATTTATTTTAGGATCATTTAAAGGTTTTATTTAAAATAATATGCTAAAATAATTCTTCGGGTAATAATATTAATAATATTTTACGAGTTCAATAACCAACATTTTTAAGATTTTCAGGTAATCTTTAAGACTTAATTGTAAACCTATAAGTCTGTCGTTACAGCTTTTTATTGAGATTATTATCATTGTGCACTTTGGTCGTATATACAAAATACTTCATATTAAGTACAAAGAAAATCGAGTTTGAAACCTTTTTAAGCTCTTGCTCAAACATATTGCTGCGACATTTATTTATACAGCTTTATAAGTACTTAAACATCTCTAGAGATTGCGGCGATATAGGTCACTTTAAACTACTCCAAAAAAGTGTTTACAGGAATATTTATAGAAAACATAATTTAAAAAATAATATCCTAACCCACTGTTTCCCATCTTCTAATTGCAGCTCAAATTGAGATAATTCCATGCAAAGTCTGCGGCGACAAGTCATCGGGCGTGCACTACGGCGTGATCACCTGCGAGGGCTGCAAGGGGTTCTTTCGAAGGTCGCAGAGCTCCGTGGTGAACTACCAGTGTCCGCGCAACAAGCAATGTGTGGTGGACCGCGTTAATCGCAACCGCTGTCAATACTGTAGACTGCAAAAGTGCCTAAAACTGGGAATGAGTCGTGATGGTCTGTAAAAGTTTTAGGCGGTGCACCCAGAGAAAATTGGTGGAAATTAAATTGATTGGTTTTGATTTCTGTACTCCTGCCAATGTTTGAAGGACGAAAAGGGAGAATTACTGATGGATATTACAAAATTAATTAGCAAGTAATTTTGAAATTCTTGTGCCAGTTCTCAGTTTTTACCTTACTTAATACAAAACAAAGTTTTTTTGAGATTCAAATATTTAAAATTTTGTTAAAAAAATAATGCCTATTCATATTGGCTTAGGGTTCAAATCGCCTTTAAAAAACCACCTCGATTTAATTTCCGCATTTTTCTCCGAGTGCTGAAGATCAACTTGCGCACTGCATTAATGTATTAACCCCCGCCCCATTGCCCACCCCCCTTTGCAGCTGTAAAGTTCGGCAGGATGTCCAAGAAGCAGCGCGAGAAGGTCGAGGACGAGGTGCGCTTCCACCGTGCCCAGATGAGGGCCCAGAGCGACGCGGCCCCCGACAGCTCCGTGTACGACACCCAGACGCCCTCGAGCAGCGACCAGCTGCATCACAACAACTACAATAGGTGCAGTATAGACGACATGAGATTGACCAGCCCCCTCTTATTTGATCGGCCCTCGATCGCCTTGACCCCTGACCCCTGGCCCGCCTGGTGAACTCGCTCTTTATCTCCCTCCTCTCGTCTGCTCTTCTCTTCCCCGTCTGCCATCACCGATCCCGACCCGTAATGCCCTTCTTGTCACTCAGCTACAGCGGCGGCTATTCGAACAACGAGGTGGGCTACGGCAGTCCCTACGGCTACTCGGCCTCCGTGACGCCCCAGCAGACCATGCAGTACGACATCTCGGCGGACTACGTGGACAGCACCACCTACGAGCCGCGCAGTACAATAATCGATCCCGAATTTATTAGTCACGGTGAGTTGAATGCTGCTTCTTAAGGAGCTTATTGTATTTCTACGAATTTCCTACATTTTAATCCTTTAATCCAAGTTAGTTTTATTAATGCTTTAATCCAAGTTAGTAGTTATTAATTGGTGCAATCAAGCAATTTAGATAATAATGCATTGCTTTGTGGGCCTAAGGACTTTTTGAAATGACAATTCCTAGCAATTTTCTTCGAATCAGAAAAAAAAATTATTAAAGGCCAATCTAAATTACTCTTCATAAAGAATTTTTCTAAAACTATATACGTATATAAATTAATAGCCTTAATAGAAATTATTTTTAAATATTATCACTATACTAAACTTCTTTTAGCCTTCAATTTGAAGTGTTAGAATATCTAATACAAATAATAACAATATGAAAAACAGAATTAAATTATAATTGTATATCTTTAAACTCGTTTTGTCAGATTATTTATATTAATAATTTTATTTTGAATCAAAAGTGTGTTTTAAACTGTCAAAATCCAAACGTCTTGGCTTCCCAGATATTTTTAGTTTCTTACCATGAAGAAACAACGGGCCGTATTTCTGCAATATCCAAATTTACATAAATTAAAATTTCTACAATTCAATAATTATTTTTATATATCCTCCAGCGGATGGCGATATCAACGATGTGCTGATCAAGACGCTGGCGGAGGCGCATGCAAACACAAATACCAAACTGGAAGCTGTGCACGACATGTTCCGAAAGCAGCCGGTGAGTGATGATTTAAAAAACCCCGAAAGTATGCCATGGATAACGGAGTATTGATCATTTTCTCGCTGTGTAGGATGTGTCGCGCATTCTCTACTACAAGAATCTGGGCCAGGAGGAACTCTGGCTGGACTGCGCCGAGAAGCTTACACAAATGATACAGAACATAATCGAATTTGCTAAGCTAATACCGGGATTCATGCGCCTGAGTCAGGACGATCAGGTAAGAACCCAAAAATCCATCTCCTTTATATTGATATTTTATAACATGTAATGCCTTTTCGTAGATATTACTGCTGAAAACGGGCTCCTTCGAGCTGGCGATTGTTCGCATGTCCAGACTGCTAGATCTCTCTCAGAACGCGGTTCTCTACGGCGATGTGATGCTGCCCCAGGAGGCGTTCTACACATCCGACTCGGAGGAGATGCGTCTGGTGTCGCGCATCTTCCAAACGGCCAAGTCGATAGCCGAACTCAAACTGACTGAAACCGAACTGGCGCTGTATCAGAGCTTAGTGCTGCTCTGGCCAGGTATGAATATCTTTTATGGTATTATATTATTATCTATAATTAAAAATCATTTATTACTAGAACGCAATGGAGTGCGTGGAAATACGGAAATACAGAGGCTTTTCAATCTGAGCATGAATGCGATTCGGCAGGAGCTGGAAACGAATCATGCGCCGCTCAAGGGCGATGTAACCGTGCTGGACACACTGCTGAACAACATACCCAATTTCCGGTAGGTCTATGAGGGGTACATGTAGTGCTTTATGAAAAATTGTAAAATACTTTGTGGACAATATATCTAGGCAGAAAGTAAGGTGAGGCAGAAGAGCTTTGGATTAGATCTGACGTATGATTATTTCTTAAAAATGTTAAGAGCAAACAAAAAAGAAACAAATTCTGTAAAATCTGAGTTATGATTACTAAAATCGTGTTCCCACAGTATAGTTAGAATATTAAAAATCTGGTCTTTTTAAAATTACTTTACCTACAGTAAAATTCAGTTCATTTTCTTATTATACAGAAAGTATTTTAGTTCGTAAATATCATTAAAGATAGCTTTAAAGCGTAATTTGCTTATAAGAAAAATGAATTTGTACCAATACTTGCCCCTTTAAAATATACATTGATGTAAAACCATTTCATCAAAGCACTAATTGTATCTACCACTTATAACTCGCACATGATTGTAACACGAGATTTTCCCTAATTTTACAGCGACATTTCCATCTTGCACATGGAATCGCTGAGCAAGTTCAAGCAGCAGCACCCGAACGTCGTTTTTCCGGCGCTGTACAAGGAGCTGTTCTCGATAGATTCGCAGCAGGACCTGACATAACAAGAGCAGCAGCCGTTCCTGGAGACGACCGCGGACGACGTTGCCGAGGACGCGGCTGCCACCGGATGTGTCCTGCCGCCGGTGGCGCCCCCTGCCGGGCAGCAGCCGCCGCTGCTCGAGGACTGAGGGCCGCAGGATGCGGCAACAATAATTATTTGAGTAACCACTGCGCGTGCAGCAGATACAAGAACTTTATCATGATTTAAGCTAGCATACAACCAAGGATGTGATCCTCGCCAAGGACTCACTTAAAAAGAACTCTATCTATATACATATATATATTATATATGACAGAGCGGATGGCGCAAAGGGAAGGGGAAATATTTCAAAAATATTGTTAACTCAGTTAAGACTTTTGCTTCGTAGAGAACCGAAACCGATTGCATTTCGAGCAAGGGGCATCAAACTCTGATTTTCGAGGTTATACTATAATATACGTATGTAACTTCCCAACTCTCATATCCAGACCCGAGCAGATCAGATCGACAAAGTACTTAAAACCAAGCGAAATTCTCTACCCCGCACACCCTGAACTCACGGTCCCAGGAACCTCAGTTCGGTTAACCCCCATAAGTCCCGATTCCGATTCCGATTCCGATCCCGCCTAGGTTGTCTTTGCCTTACGTTGTAACTAAAGTATGTGTATTATATATACAGCAGATGTATGTATAACTATGTCTTATCGGTTATATGCCTAACAACAATATTTCTTTGTAAACAACTAAATCGAATATCTCGGAAAATGTGTTCTTATAATTATATTGATTAATGCAATTACAATATATTTACAATTTACCGTTACGTTTTTACATTTTACATAAGACGAAGAGGAGGAAACAGATGATTAAGGATTAGGAAGCAAAAAAAAAAGAAGGAGAAGAGTAGCAGTTAAAGTGAGCGAGAAATCGAATGAATACCAGAAAATTTCAAGCAAGCACATAAAAGTATGCAATATTTTGTTTAAAAACAACTTTTTATTAGTTTCTTAAATATAACATAATTACGTACATACACACACGTATATATAGGGCTATATATATCTATATATATACATGATAGACAAATCCCAATCCGGTTCCAAGGTTTAGTAAAAATAAAGAGAAATAAAACGAAAAACAAAAACTTTTGATATGAAATCCTACGCATAATTACAAACTTTTATTGTTTCTAAGACTTAAACTTAAATAAAATGAAAACCAAAACAGACTGACGGACCGACCCCGACAGCATGCCACGCCCTCCCCCGCCCCCACCCTCCACAGATCCTGGCAGAAATTAACAAGGAGTTCGATGCTTAAATCGAGAAAAGAAATCTTCAAAAAATAAAGACAAGCAAACGGCAACTTTTTTGGTTGATACATTTAAATATATACATTTATATAACTGACTGACTATACAAAGACGTTACACACACGCATACACACACATACACGCATATACACACACACATGCTTACATTACATAAATTAGTTAAACTTAGAGTAAACGAAACAACAAAAACACATTGGATAGTAGGTGATAATTGGTGTGTCTTAAATAACCCCTCCCCCTTTCCCACCCCGCCCACTTGCTTATCCCCCAACACCCCCAAAACCCCACATTTTTACTAAATTTAAAGCTTAATCAAAACAATTTTTGGTACATATTCAAAAGGAAATTTCAGCAGGCAGGCATAATTATTAATTAACATTAATTATAGCGAGGAAAATTATAAATAAAATGTATACAACAAAAACTAAAAAAAAATCAAATAAATTACATTTTGCAAATTCCACAAAAAAATAACAACCTTACTTTGCAAGTTCTCTCAAAAATCCTTTCCCTGAATCCGTGCGAGAAATATTTACACTAGCTTACATTAAACTGGGACGAGGACATCAATATTTCAATTGAAAAAAATCTATGTTAATGTAATCGATCGATTTGGACATATTTAAGTTCTACATTTTTGGCCTTACAAAAGAAAACAAAAAGAAAGAAACCTAAAGTACTTTATATATATACAAACCATATATACAATATAGAGAATACAAAACTAGTTTTAATTTATACAAAGCAAGGGAGCAGCTTTCAAACTCAAAACAAAAATATCCCCAAAAAACAAAAACTTTGTTAAAAATTACCCATAATAAAGAAATTAATTAAATAAACAGACGACACAAAGTTAATCTATAATATAAATTGAAGTTAAGTTGGTTTGAGCGGACGATGGCGACAACATAAATGTATCTATAAATGATATATGTATTGTTAAATTTGTATGCTAAGTTTTTAGTGAGAGAAACGGTTAAATTTTTAAATAATAACAGAAGATCGCGAACTCTACACGGTGTAAAATGAGTACATTTAAATTTAAATTAGCATATATACGGCATAAATATTATGTTACGATATTTACATTTATATAAAACAACAAAAAAACAAAAGAAACCGACAAAAATCAGAAATCCCAAATAAAAAATGAAATAAAATCAACAGATATTAACTGACAAAGGGATTTCTGAAAAAAAACAGAAAGCCGAGAAGGAGAAAAAATTAATTATACAAAAACAAAAACTTATAAAGAAAAGAAGGCAAATTATATATTATATATATGATTAAGTAGCTTTAGGCCGACTGTTGCACATAAACATACACCTCACACACACACACATTCACTAACACAAACTCACACTTGCTAATAGAAAAAGCTGCGAATGACAGTTACAAATGTTCATCTGCAAAAAGGCGCTTTCATACACACATTTACATAAAATCATTTTTTTACGGTGCACAACAAAGCAATATTCGTATTAAAAAGCGATTCAATAAACGGGAACTACAGTGGATATTGGCCAGCTAAGATTAAGTTTCATTTGAAGATTATGTTTACTTACTATGCTGATTTTCAAATTATCTTAATTTGGAAATCGTAATCCAATTAAAAAAAAAATTATTTCTGACTTAATAACTTTTCACTGTTTAATGTTTTTGTGTTTAATAATTCGGAATTCAATATATCTCTATCTATATCAAGATTTTAAAATTTTAAACTATTCTTTAAAGTATCATTTTGTGAACGATAGAATTACATTTTATGTTTCTAAAAACGTTAGTATCTGTAAAAACTTTAAAACAGTTCTTAACTAAACGAATATGTAAATGCAAGTTAATAGAAATGTTTTATTTAATCCAAACTCAACGAGGCTTTAATATGTGTTTAAAAAGAAGATCATATCGTCTTGCCAATAGCCACTGTACCGTCTAAATGTTCCCAGCTCTTTTCATCAACCGTAAGACTTTCCCTGGCCGTGCAACGTGGCGTATGAGTAACATCCATTGCTCCGCAAATTTCGTTATTTATATTTCAGCGAGCTAGACTCGGTGCATGTTTAATTTCAAACAATACTATTCAGTTTTTTAATGCCAGGGCACGAACATAAATAAAAGCGAAATCAACAGATAAACCAATATATTATTTGTGTATGTAGATTGGTTGTAAACAAATATTAAGGCGGAGGCACACGAATGTTGCATAAGCCAATAACAAAAACAGAGAACATCAGCTTTCAAACAGGAACAGAAGATATGTTGCCACGTGCATATAATGGAGAGGAAATCATTTTTTATAAGCTATCACACACTCACACACACTCTCACACACATGTAGCTTTAGTTTACTAGGTGAATTCGTTTTTATATATTTGTAAATTGTTTTTAGGTAAATCGAATTATATATACACACAAATATATATGAATCTCGATACATATACACGCATATACTCGTATATGAAACAGATTATATGTATTATGTCATACTGCATTATGATTATTACGATTATTATGATTCAACACAGAACCCCAAAAAAGGCAGAAAAGCATCAAATGGTGAAACCAAGAAAACCCAGATTATCCGAGAAAAGAGTGCTGGAAAAGCCCTTCAAGCCGCAGTTCAGGATGAAGAGATCGGAAAAGAGCAGAAATAATTCAATTCATTCTTAACAATAAAATGTAATCTGAATTATACAAAACGAAACAAAAAAAAAACAACAGCAAACCAAAAGAGAAAACAAAAGAAAATCATAAAGAAAACATTTTCAACTGCGTTTACTTACTTGGGAAAGGCCATGGATGGCGAGATTGGGGCGGTGCAGTCATGTAATGGCCTTCATTGTGCTGATTTTCCAATTAAAAATTTCATTAATTGGCCAACGGCACTGTCCGATGCTCGATTTTGCATTTATAATCCACATTAACAAAACGTCAATCAGTTCGGATGGGAAGTGCAGGCTTTGACCAGCGAAGACAGGAAATGTACCGAGATATTCGCACGGAAGTGGCTATTGTAAAGTGGCTATTTATCAAGCAACTCAAATTTACGGGAAGCCAACAAGTCATCAGGCACTCGGATCAGAGTCAAGTATCTTCATTTTAAGTTTATTTATCAGTATCTTTACTTGGAGGTAAGTTTCTTAAAGTTATTTTGTTATAAAAACAAACATTGAATTTGCAAATTTTTCTTAAGCTTGAACTAAAGAATATATAATATGCATACACTTTATTTAGTTTATTCTTTTTTGACCGTTAAAAAAAAATCCAAAACCAACTTATGTCATTATATTTATTATGATCAAGAAAAAACCTCCTTAATCATCATACCCCTTTCAGTTCCTTCGGATTAAAAATTTGAATGTAATTCATATTTAATTCATACACTTTCAAGTTTAAATTAAATTAGCCGAAAGCATCCAAAGTACATCAAGTTTAATAAGCCAGAATTGAATAAGTCAGAGTGACTACACCCCTAAAACAATCTGAATGTCGTTCTACGGGAATAGGAACACAATGTTCCAAGTTATGTAGGTCAGTTGCAGTCATGTGTATGCGATCATGACTCATTTTGAAGGCCAACCCGCTGAGCGGACCAAAATGTCGGAGCATTGCGGTGTATGTTAACTGGATTTCTGCTAGGCTCAGCAAACTTCTGTGGCAATCCGAAATGCTCAATAGTCTAACTAGCTTTTGATGGCCATAAATTAATGCACCCCTCCGCCGTCCAATCGCCAGTCTCGAGTCTCGGAGGCCATAAAAACGTGCTGCATACAAGAGTCGAGAATCTTGTATGTTGCCTTTCAATACGCAATAACAGTGTGGCAACAACGACAACGACACCTGCGTGCCCCGTTAAAGGCAAATCCATGTTTGCGCCAAAGTAAAACTTTTGCCCTATTTGCCCCACTTGCCCCACTCTAAAACACCCACGTACACTTGTGGTCAGAACTAGATTTATGGCCACTTGCACAACTTGCCGATTCCAACGGCAAGGTCACTTTTGATGATGTCAGCAAGGCAAATAGTTTTCTCAGCAAGAAATGCTCCAAGTTTATCCCTTAATCTTTACAATTGATCCATCGCCAGCTGGGCATCCGAGTTGCAAGGACGTCAAGCATTTGCTGGTTATGCTGCATCAAAGGATTTAATTTACTCACGTTGTGGATATCAGATTAAAACAGTTTTATGCTTCAATTTTGCATAGCCAATCCTTAAGTAACGTTCAAATCCAAATAACTATATTAAGTCCAAATATTTGTATGTATTAAGGAGCTTGTTCTTAATACACATTGACCAGTGCTGTCATCCAATTTATAAAAAACAAGTAATGTATTATTTACACTTTTCTGTTTACAAAAATAATCATTTCATATCTCATTTATTTACCGATTTATTTATCAAACAAGGAGTTTATTTCAACACCTGTTATCAAAAATAAATAAATAATAAATACAAATAATGTCTTCACATTGCCTTCAACTTCAATCTTCAAATTATGTCCTACTGCGATAAACAATAGTATTTACCTCAAGTAGTTATAGTAAAAGGAAGTTGGTTTTGATAATAGGCGTAATCCATTGACCGATTTACCCGACGGCGGACTTGAGTATATTATTTGAGAGCTATGTGATTTTTTTAAGACCGTACCAACAAATCGATTTATGGGTACACAGCCAAACGTCTTTTACAAATATTTCTTTACCCAATTGCGTGCCTGAAAAATCAAGAGAAATGCTGACGTTAATTAGTGATTTTCGCTACTTACTGCTAATACTACATAATACTAACCCGTATATGTGTGATTAAGGAAAAGCGTGCGAAAAGTGTTATATCAACACGTCTTCCTTCTTTCGAAACCTGATTCGCTTTTTGGCCAAACTGCAGTTTAATCCCAATCGAACTCTTTAATATGGTCATCAATTACATATGGTAAATGAAGCGGGAAACTCTGGCGGCTGGCATGCAAATGCATAATAAATACACAAATTTTCACTTTGTTTTCATTTTGATTTCCCCCAACCATGTTTTTTATTCAACTTTGGTTTGGCTCTGCAATTTTAACGCGCTTCCGTCAATTAAACTTACGAGCCGTAACTGGCAAACTGGAAAATTGTGTCACACACAAACCACCACCCGAAGCCCACCCACCGGATTGGAATGGGCAGGAAGGGGGGTGCGGTGGTGATGTGGCACATGAATGTTGCATGTTGCAGGCTGCATACATACGCACATGCGGCGATGATCGACATAGTTAAGTGAAAATTTATTGCGAAAGGAAACGGCTGGCAGACGGGGAGACATCGGCCTGATGTATCGGTTTCCGGGGCTTCGGCTTTCGGTTGGATAATCCTTGGCGGTCCGTTCCGAAGTGAAAGGCCGTAAGCACAACAGGTTAAGCAAATTTGGCTTGTGCACTTTCGTTTGCATTGGCCGCATTGCCACCGGCCATCTCCAATATTAATCTGTGCGTTTCCCCTGTCCTTGGGCTAGATTTCTGTGTGAAATATGAATACATTTTAAATATGTTTTCACTTTTGAAATTCAAGCAAATCTTAGCAAATATTGGAAACACATACCTATTGGTAATAAAATTGGCGATAAATATACAGATGAACTTCCATAAGTCCAAATCCCAACAAGTTTAGTTGGCAATAGATGTTAAGATAAATTCTGTTAATTTACAAATATGTTTGTTATAGAAAGTTAAATTTATTATATTAAGCTGATGTGACGAATATAAAAATAGAGACGACACAAACATTAATTGGTGGAGCGGACTTTGTGCAGGCTATTTCGTTCACTTTAAAGGCCTGTTCAATAGGATAATATCATTTTTATAGCATCACTACCTTTACATTTCTTTATTTATTAATATAAAAGTCTTTTCAGTTGATGTTGCCACCATTCCCGCGAATGTGGTGCTAATGACCCGATGGCAGCCAACCACCGCATCGAACCGAGCCACTTTGTATGCAATTAATTTTGACACTTTTTCGCAATTGCGCGATCATGCTGGAAAAGTGGCCCGAACCGGTCAAATGGCCCGATCAAATTTCTCGCTTTTATGATTATATCATCAAATGTGCCTGTTAATTGCCCAACTTCTGGCAGTGGAACCCCGCGAGGAGAAAACTCTCCCCGCCGACTACAATGGCAGACCAATAAGTGGCCGTGGAAGTATCAAAGTTATATCATGTCAGGCGGAACAGCACTGGAAAAAGGCCAGAAAAGCCGAACTCGTTGGATGAGCCCGTCTCCGGCGAGGCGAAGACAATGACCAAGTGTCGTGCCGGTCTGGATTTGTCATTGTTATGCAATCGCGGCGTGCCAGCGAAACCAGTTGATTAGCTGGCCGAAATGGCTGAAATGGCCGAAATGGAGCGCTTCCTGCATTACATTCATGGCTTTTGCTCGAGTACCTTCGACGCGGGCCCAACGGCCAGAATGGCCAATCAAATGGATTGCCTTCGTGCCGCACATTCACATTTAAATTGCAATCAAATGCAGGTCGGCGCGGGTGCAGGTACACTGCGAAAAATTTAAACAATTTGTTATTTATAATACCTAAAATATAAATTGTTTTGATTTGCAAATAAATAGACTCCGTATACACTAATATTCTTTTAATATCCATTTTCTCGTTATAAGCCAAATTTTAGCTTACGCTAAAGACGACCAAACATTTATTGGTAAGATTAAAATTAAAATTGAATAAAAAAGAAAAACTTGTTTATGAATATTAAAAACTCTAATATTAATGTTAACACATATTTTATTTTCTAATTGGTAAAACTTTTCAGTTTTACAGCCAGTTGATGAAATATAATGTGATAAATTATTTTGTATACGTTTTATACGTATATTATAAATATAATTGATTTGTTTTTATATTTACTATTCTAACTATTTTCGATACATATCTTTATTTTCTATAAATTTATATATTACAACATAAACCCACTAAAACCACAGAATAATAAAAAAATTTATTAGTCAAACTCTAAGATAATTAAGAAAACTCGTAGATATATTTCTCTCAGTGGATATGCGGTTGACACGACGACATATTTCAGCGCACAACTCAATTTGCGACAAACGAATGCGAAACCAAATGCCTAACCAGGAAGCTGGCCGAATCCTTGCCACTGCCACTGCAACTGGAAACTGCAATTGCAACCTGCTGCCGGCGCCAACGACACCGCCCCCTCCTCCTCGCCATCTCTTTCCCCTCAGCCTGCCCCGCCCCCCTTTTCCAACCGCTGGGGGCGGCCAGACCGGCATAATCGCTGCGTTTAACTCAGGCACAGGCTTCAATTACACGTGGCCCCATCTCACTCGCACTCTGTAACTTTCAGTTGGAAAAGTATCTTCATGTTCGGTGACTTTTCCACCGGCTGGCGAGTGCGAGCGAGAGGGGGACATACGGTACGGAGCTTGTGGCTTTGAGCCTGAGTTTCTGGATTGCTGATGGCGCCTGACTTTGCTGGTTACTTTGGGTTTGGATTTGGCTTTGGCTCGCTTTATTTGCGGCGTGTGTTTTCACTATCATGTCAGGGTGGCAAGGCACCCTACCCTACCTTAACTCGATTCGGGGTATACTGAATTGTTATATTATATTACATAGACAATTAGTTGTAACTTAAGGGAATTTAAATACTGATTAACTATAAAATATCATTCTTGGTATTAAAATCTAAGCAATCAAATTATGAGTATTATACATATGTTATAGGAAATTTATAATAAATCATGTAAAATTACCATTAAACCTTTATTTATGAACTGAGCAACTTAAAATATTATTCTAAGCATTTATTAAAATGTTTATAAGACCATGCAATAAAATCATGATTAACAAGAAAATTAATAACAACTATGTTAATTTTAAACTTATAATCACATCAGATTTTAAAAAGACAAAAAACGGTTGTAACAATCTAATACAACTGACTTTTGAAATGGCTATGGCAACTACTTCTTTAAGTACTCATGTTCCTTTTCAAAAAATAAATTAGGTAAATATATTTATATTTATTTATTTTATATTTAATATGTAATAATTAGTTGAAAGGGACTGTTAAATTAATATTCAGAAGTAAATATAGCGTTTAGATAAGTCTACAGAGATGTCTTATAATTAAATACATATTTTTATCAGTACCCAAAAATGGGTAGAGTTTGTGGGGAACTCAAGTCTCAAGAAATACGAGACACTCGAGTAGCGGTTTAAGTGGTATCCTTTTAACATTGTTTAGGGTTACTGCAGCGCTTTTGGCAAGTCGACCATAGCCAGATCCGAGTGATGTCAAGCGGCAGTTAACATGGCCACCAGTCCGAGGCTGAATCCCAATCCGAACCCGAGTTTCAGCGGAGAGACTGGGCTGCTGGCCACTTCCGCTGCCCCGCCGACGACTTGATTATGTTTTTGTTTTTACTTCGTTTCCAACTCAGCAACTTCGTGTCACCGCATTGTTGCTGCAAGTGGCGCTGCCGTCCGTGGCACGTTTCACTGTAGCTCATAACTTTTTTCTTCGCTTTTTGCCTCATATTTAAGCGGATGCAGGCGGCAAGTCCCAGAGCAATTCCATTTCTACGCCCGTCGACGATGGTTTACCGAAATCCGCACTTTTAATCCAATCAAACAACATCGAACAAATAGCAAAAAAAAAACAATTTTAAAAACACAACATCGCGAACAACAATGCATTTGCCCCAAGGAGTAAGTGTTAATTACATTTTCAAAACGAGCAAACAATGGAGAGGCGCGAAATAAACGAATGCAAACATCCAAAAAATTCTCCATATTTGTGTAGGCACGGAAAGCACAATATAAAAATAAATATTTAAAATTAAATCCAGCTTAGAAAGTCCCATCATAATTCCGCGCAAAGTGCTCGAAAAATATGCAAACAAAAAGCTTTCATTTTGCAACGAATTTATTGACTCCAATCGCGCGGGAAATGAATAAAACAAAGCGAAAAAGTAAAATGCGAATAACCACAAAAACTTAATTTGGTTTTTATGACCGACAAATGTCGAAACATGAAAAGAACTCTCAAGTTGGCCATAAACGGTTAATTGAACAAAAATGTGCAATAAAGGGAAAGTCATATTCGCACAATAGTAAAGGGACCAACAAAGTGAAAGGCAGTCATTTTGTGATTGTGAAAAAGTCGCAAAATTAAAAAATATTTATTTCAATAAAGTGATAAGCTTAATGAATGACTTGAATTTAACGAAATGACTCGAAAAAGCGATTTGATAAAATGATAAAAATACAAACAAAGATGTTCCTCAAAAAAATTCAAAGATTTCTTATATTTTTTGTTCCGCTTTTCGAACGCATTTTAAAATAATTTAAAATGTAACATAGTTTTTTTAATTCCTAACCATTTTTAATGCTTTTAGTGTTTTTAAATTTAATTAAAATTTGATGCGCACTTAAACAATTTTTTTTCTACACCATTTTTTTACTCATTTATTTGACTTTCAAACTTTAGCAATCAGCGAGAAAGAAAAGCTGTTTAATGTAAGAATAGTAGGTATCAAAGTCAGAATTTTCGGAGTTAAGGCTAATTTACCACCAAGTGAGTAGACCGAAAATGATTTTCTATTCCCATCTTGGCTAACTTGGACTATATCGGGCCCAAATTATCCTTCCTGGCGGCTGACAGCTTCTGTCACGCCCACATCAAAAAAATGCTCGAGATAAAAGGCGGACCCATCATCGTTAAATGGGCCTGCCAATACTAATAACAGGGAGATGAGGTCCTTGGATGCGTATTATTATGCTAATTGTATTGTTCGGCTGTTTATGAGCTGTTTGGGGAAAACATAGGGCGATAACCTCTTTACGCTGGCGACCCAATCGTAATCTTTATACTTGTTTCCGTTGCAGGCATTAAGCTTTCTGTTCATCACTTGCATGATGTTCGCACTGGCAAGCGGCCATCCATCAAGCGACAAGCTTAAGTAAGACCCTGCCCCATAACCACGCCCCCTCCTAACGACTACACAGAGAAATAATATTTACACTTAATTCACTTAATAAGTATGTTTGATTTATATATGCTCAATAATACTCGAATTAATCTGACCTCTTACTTGGACTTATTTCACTTTTTGAATATCTAATTGAAACTAATATTAATAATACAACAGTTAGTTATGGGAAAAATACTTTTTGAAATGTTATTTTAAAATGCATTTTGTTACAAATTTTTAAAATATATACCAAATATTATTGTAATTATTTTTTTAAATTAATTTTTTTCTTCGAAATTAAAAATAAAAACAAATAATCAAGAATGTTAATTAACTGTTTCTTACGTTTCACTTAACACAAATTTGATCTTAGAAGTTAGTATCAGTATCATTGTATATATTTCAATATATATATATTTTAATTTAAAATGATTTTAATCAATCTATTTCTATTCAATTATAGTTAATTCACTTATTTCATTTTTAAAATTAACAAGAAATGCACCCTTTTTTAAAATAATAAATATTATTTATTATGTTCTTGTTTATTATCAGGGGAATATTGAATAAATAAATAAATTTAAGCTGACAGAAAAACTTTTTTTTTATAAATTAAGACCATAATATTATTATAAGAGAATATGAAATTATTTCTCTGCGTGCGGTTGATAGAGTCCCGCTGCCGTTTTATGTTTTTTGCTGTGTAACAATGTTCATGGACCATTGACCATTTACAGGATCCGAATACACGTGCCGGTGAAGCACCACACACATGTGCACACGAAGACGGTCATTAAGAAGGTTCCGCTGCCCATTCCGGTGCCGGTCAAGGAGCACCACCACGAGCCGAAGAAGCACCACAGCAGCCGGAGCCACCACCACCACCACCACCATGAGGACGACCAGGACGACGATTTCGAGGGCTACGAGTATCCCATCAAGGCCAAGCGGCGCACGCGGCATCCCTTTGTCTGAGCCACCTAGCCACCCACCATTCAACCACCCAGCCACCCAAGCGCCCCTTGCCACGCCCACTCAGCGGGGCAAATGAAATCAAATGAAATACAATTTACGCAGATTAAGACGAAAATAAACCAAAATACGAGGCAGCTTGAGTACGATACGTAAAGGAAGGCCAAGGAAAACACAACAGCGGCAAACACAATCCTGGGTCTGATTTGTCACTGTTTTTTAGTGTGTACGAGAATAAGTAAAATAAAAAAACCCTTAGAAGTAAGAAAAACATTCCAGTGCAATAAAATAAACAAATATTACACTTAAGCACAATTTAAAGCCGGCGTACGAAAGTTTTTTCATTGCTTTTGGGTTTATTTTCATTGGTATTTCAGTCACGACAAAGTTTTAGCAGATAAACATGTGTTAGGGGGTTTCAATTGGAATCGGAAGAGTATGAGTATATAGAACATATGTCTATGTTGTTAGTTTTCAGCATTAAATAAACATTCAATGAACGAACTCTGATCGTTTTCTAAAAATAGAAGGCGAGGTGCACTTATATAAAGATGGCTAACTTACAAAATTATTCTGATAATACTTTTTGTTTTCTTTTGAAAATATTAAAATTAATTAAATATTAATTATTCAAATTTATTTTTCTTTTTATAAAATTATATTACCTGCGTAACTAAAGACTAAGAGAAATTTTTTAACTAAGCGAATAATAATATTACAATGGCCATTTACAAAAGTTGAATAATTAGGTACGATTAAAATGACTTAGCTTATAAAAATGAAATAGGTACACGGTGAAGGGTCTTCAAGTAACCTTTAGACCAGGTTGTATGACAATATAATATGTGTAACCCAGATTTCCACAGCCATATTATAGTGCTGGAATAAGAAAGTTTGTGGCAGAAAAATCTGGAAAATTTCCTTTTTTCCGGGTGCTCAGCAAGGAGATTTAAACTGATTGAATTTAACATTTCCAGCTGTTGCTGCTGCTGCTTGCGATGTTGCTGCTGGTGATGTTGCCGCTTCTGCCGTTGATGTTGCTGCTGTCGCTGTGGTTGTTGCCGTAGGTGCCCCACCATCTGCACCTTCTGTGGGATATTTGTGCATAAATAAATGAAGCGAACGACATGCGAAACAGCAAAGTAAACCCAGGGCCGGGCTGTTTGTAATGATGTTGTGGCTCCGCCGAATCCTTCTCCTTCCCGGAGGAGGGTGTGTGGGCACCAGGAGCGGAGCTTACGCCATGAAATATGCATGCTCAGCTGCGGCCCGCTCGCGTGTCCCCGTCCCTCTTTTACCACCGTGGCGATGGCGATGGCGGGGGGAGGGCAAAGGCGACGGAGCGGAGCGACAGCACGTGCTGGGGCACCTAGCCAACAGACAGGCTCAAAAGAATGTCAACAACTGCTCGCCTGTTGCCTGTTGGCCCCCTAAGTGCACTGACAAAAAGTTATAGTACTTAGCCATTGCTCTTATTAAACTAAATTATTATTTTGACTTAGGACGAGCATTTTAAACAAACATCAATTTATTTTTAATTTTCAACATTTTTGTATAAAATGTTATGTGTTCAGCTTTAATTTAGTTATTGTCAACCCCAATTCTTTTCTTAAGCGAAATATTTAAATACACTGTGTTGCAAAATTTGATATACTTTTCTTTTTTCTAATTAAAATGTATAGAAATTATTTGGGAATTAATATTTAAATGCATTTATTTGGCACCTAATTAATGTCTTTTTATTAATTTTAATAACTATCCGAAACGTTATCTAGGATCTGTTGTAGAGTGCATAGCCAAGGCAAACCCCTAGACTTAGGACTGAAAAAAAGAATTTAGCTTTGAATTAATACATTTTTATGCTCTACACAAAATGAATAGATGTGAATTCCATTTTAGGTGAGCATTTCTCCTTGTGTGCTGCGTGTTTTCCTTTCGCCCGAGCAAACAGGCCCGGGGCGGCAGCTGTTGATGGCTCATTTTCCACGACTTTAGCGCCACTCAAGTGGCAGCCACTCAAAGCCGAGGCGAAGGCATAAGCAGCAACAAAGGCAGCAACAAGCCCGGCAACAAAAGTAGCCAACGCAAAGGCCACTCGTCATGTAGAGCCACTCAATTTACTCAGCACTCAGCGGCTCTGTACCAGATCAGCGGGGAAATCGGACTAGCGGGGGGTCTAATTAATACGACCACCCACCTCCTGCCACCCAGAAACCACCCACCACCCAATAACCACCTGCTGGCGGGCCACACTTAAGTGCGGTGGTGGGTGAATGGAAAGGAAGGGGAACAGCAACTTAATCACCAGCGGGCCAAGAAAGCGGGTCGATAAAGCAGTGTATCTTAGTGGAGTGGCCGTCTGAGCGACTGCTAACTGCTTGGCCAACCTCTGTTAAGCGATCACTTTTAACATTACTTACTTTTTAGTTGTTACAAAACAAATTAATTAATCAATTAATTACTATATTTTATATACAAAGTATGTAAAATATGTTAAAATATGCTATCAATGATCTCCCAAGAGGAACATTATTTGTCATTTTGGGTTCAGAAACAAAGTTAGTAGTATTAAAATACTCCAATTTGGCATCTTTATTATATAACTTCGGAATGAATATTTTAGAAATTTTGTTAAATATTTTATAAATATTAATTAACAAAAATGTCATCAAATAAAAAAATATGTTAAAATATATAAATTGTACGTGTTTGTATGCCAGCGATTATCTCTATATATAAAGCTATCAGTAAGAAAACTGGGAACCCACGCAGAGCCAAAACCACTGGTTAACAATATTTATGTGCATTTTTATTACATTCTAATAACTTTAAACTGATTTGCTAAGATTTATTGGGGCTCCCCAAGTGGCCCCAATCGCTTCCAATTGGAAAAATTGTCAATTTTCCTTTCAAAAATTCTGGACGCTAAACCGTTTAACCAAGTTTAAGACATTATAAATGTTTAAAAAATTTGACCGCTTAGATTTAAGGCTTTTTACTATTTGAACACCGGTTCTAAAATTACAAATTAGCCAAAAATATCTTCAAAGGTCGAAAAATGGCACTTCTAAACTGATTATCAAAAATTCCTTTGGAAAAGTTTTTCCTTAAGCTTTAACGATTCATTTGATGGTTTCACCAAAGCTCTAGCTATCTTCTAAACAAAGAAACTAAGCAAAAAGTCGATCTATTATCGAATTTAAGTGCTCTTTATAATTATTGCTGTCAGAATACGCAAAAGACGTTTTTTTGGCGAAAATCTATTTGGCCCGGTTTTTGATAGTGTAGTAAAAATATACCATTCAAATTGTATTTTGCGGTGTTTATTTTTACGCGCTGTTAGGGAACACAAGAGCGGGAGATCGCAGTAGATAGAGAGAGAGCAAAGAGTGTAGCAAGTGTGCAAAAGAAGAAGTTAACGGGGAAACTTTCAATTTGGTCAGAGTCGTATCAAAAAAAATTTGCCGCGAATTGTGTTTTTATGTGACAATTTTCCTATTAATTAGGCGAAGAGTAGGCTTTGCTTTAATAGGAAAATTTCTTTCCATAACCGTGTATTTTGGTGTTTAACCGTATGTGAGCAATAATATTATTATTTTAGTTCGTCTTTCTCGGAATTTTAATTTTTTCTATTGAATGTGCAAATTTGTTGATATCTCCGATGTTAACTTAAAAATTTGGTGAGTTATGACAGTTAGTTTCAATTTTTACTATTCTTAATTAGTAAAGTCATAAATGATTTACATTTAAATGAATATTTGGTTATTTTTTAATTATGTGCAGTTGTGATATACCAATTAGCATAATTGCATTTTGTACATATGTATATAAATTCGTTTTTGTAGTTTTTAATCTTATTATTCGATATAAACATTGCATAAATTGCACAATTTAAAAATATTGTCTTAATATTTAAGAGCTTCCTATATGGAGACAGAAATAATGCAAGCATAAGTCATCGCAAGCGAAGCTGCGGGCACCCTGCTAGTTATTTTATATTCTCAGCCAAAATGTATAGTAATTCTAAGTCCATTTTTATTTGTAAATAATGAAATAACTATATATTTATACAACAACATATGCTTATATAGAAATTGACATAATTTATAACTAATAACAGGCCAGGATTTCTTTCTGATTTCCTTGAACTAATTGTATCGAAACAAGTAAGAATGCTAACATAGTTCAAAATTATACATACAATGGATAAAAATATTTGTATATATACAAATTAAATGCAGAAAAAAAAGTAATAAAATAATAATAATAAGTTGATTCTAAGATTTTGATTATTATTGTGAAACAATTTTGTTCAAGATTGAAGAAGGCCTTAAAATTTTTAGGAATAATTATTTATTTGGTTTTAATAGAACAATAGATGTTTTAATATTGGAAAATACATTTAAACTTTTAGCATAGCCTTTGTAAATTTAATATTTGCAAAATTAGCTACCTAAACTGGGAAGATGCTAAATCTGTGCATAAAAGTGTCTGGTGAGTCAATGGAATCCAGTTAGCGGGTTCATCCAGGGTCTTCCACCGAGTGTCTAGGCGGCGAAAGTGCCACCACCCCATGACAATTTGTGGGTGTGAAGGCCATATATTTACTTGGCTCTTCGTGTGGCTGCTGCTCCTCCGCCAGTTGTTGTTGTTTGATTTGGGCGCTTCTATTTGATTAGGCCGCCTAAGCGAGCTACGTGCTTGGGTTAATTTGTGGCCCCAAGTGTTGGCCCGAGTGCGAAAGTCATTGTTACTGGATGTATATTTGCTTGTACATTTGTGTGCCTATCTGCGCTGATGTTTGTGTTTGCGGTGACAGCAAATAAATCGCACGCATGTGCTCGACGCCCAGCCAAACACTTACAGATACTTTGCACTCAAAAAAATTGACAAAGTCTTCAAAATAACAAAGGTAACATTAACATATTTCTATGAATAAGAGTGACTTTATTCTTAAGGCTTCAAGCTATACAAATTTCGCTTAGAAGAAAGAGTTTTCTTAACATGAAGTCTGGACAATTGGGCCAAAAATATTATTTTTAATAACACATATTATAATAAC